TTTTTTTTTTTTTCCCTGCTGAATTGTAAAGGAAAAAATGGGTAAACTTTGAAACGTAGGGGGAAGGTTTTGTTGTTTAGACATCATATGCTTATTATGTGATGTTTGAAAGAAGTGTAGAACTTAGTATTAATTAATACAGAAATCCTTTTAATTGATAGATATTAATCATATTATTACATTTCAAAATTATATCCCTTACTTTTCAGATAAACCTGTGCAATTTTTTGTTTTTTTTAAGAGAATCAATAGTGGTTCTTTAATTATCCCTTGCATGACTCGAACTCGAGACTTATTGGTCTCAAGTGAATGTGCTAACAACTGAGCTACTCTTTCTCGTCAACCTGTTCAATTTATAATGAGCAATTTTTTTGTAATGCACTTATACACCCTATATATAATTGCAAATGCGTTGAGCCTAAGTGACATGTTCTCACGCTTTGGGATCCTATGTGGCAAAAAACTGTGCTTTGGAGTAAGGCTTGGATATAAATTAATATTTCTTATACAAAATAAGTAAGTTTGGATTTCATATAATGTCTATATCATATTAATCCTTATTGATCCCTTCTTTCTTTTATTCTGCAATTACTTACCATAAACTATTTTAAGTTTCATTTTCCTGCATTATCATATATTAAATTTATTTTTTTATTTAATTTATACATCAATTATTATAAATGTTTATTCTTCTTATTTTTAAAACTTTATAACGTTTTTGGTTTGTATTTTAATATTATATATGATATCTCAAATTATTTAACTTTTAACGATCTTCAATTTGACATCCATATTATATATACAAAATATAAAACAATAATATATAATCTTATAAATAAAATCTAGAATCATTAATCAAACTAGACTAAAATATATAAAAAATATATATTTTATCTTGTAAAGCAATTAAAATTATGTGTATTAGCATACTATAATATAGTTATTTTATTTAGAATAAATAAATAAAATATAATATAAGCATCAAATTAGTATAAAAAATATATTCTAAAAGTTTATGTCTCGACTTAAATAAAAATTGCACCGAAGCATTATGATCGTGAAAAAAAAGTAAATAAACATTATAATTAAAATTATAAAAATAATTATAAATATCTCATAAAGTTTACAACATTACACTCATACCATTTTATTTTAAATTGTTGAACATCATAAAGTTGAAGATATTTTATAACATATTAAGTTAGAGAGAAAAATTGTATAAATATAAAGTATAATTACAATATAGTCAAACTTGAAAAAAAATAATTCAAAATTAAATATGTGTGTGTGTGTGTGTTTCTGATTAAGAAAATTATCATTTTAACACTTTGAGTATAAAATAAGAATATTATTTTAAATAATTATTTTTGTTATTTTTTTAGTTATCAGTTGTTTATTAAATTTTTATCATTCTATTATAAGTATATATTTTTTCACTTATTTATTTTGATACAAATATTTAACTTTCAAGCGCCTGTGATATATCTCTCTCTTTGCGAACGAACCCCAACCCTAGCCGCTCAATCTCTCTCTAAAATTCGCCGCCGATAGCCCTCCCCGGCGACGGCGGGGCTTGGCCAGTGGTCGCCTCTGACCGCTCGTCCCGCCTCGGTCGTCGTGTGCCCCGAATTGCTGCGGTTCGACTGCATCACTCCCCTTCTTTTGTCGGCGATTTGGCGTCTCGAATGGCTTTCTGTAAGAATATGTGGCCCGAAAGTACTGGGCTCACATTTAATTATCCTATTGGGCTAAGTCTTTAATTAATGGTCAAATAAATCTAAGCCATAAATCTGGATATTTGATGGACGTACCAGATCTAAAGTCACCTCTATATAAATTAGTCATCTCTCCTCCTATTAGGGTCCGCAGTTATTATCCCATCACTTTTCTGCTACGTTAAGGAATCGGTCAGGAGGGAGAAACTAGTTTAGATCTAACAATGGATTCAACCCCGTGAGATCATTAAGATTAAGATCACAAATTATGTCGTCTTCCGCATCAAGTAAGTATCTCGTGTACACCAAATTATTTATTCAAGATCCTTAATGAACTTTACATGCGGTATCAGAGCATGTGTTGTGGATAAATAATTTGTTGTATGATTCATATGAGCATGATCATATAATAGCACATATGAATTTTTGGCCGAATCGTGTGGCAATATTTCCCGTTAGAGGTTGAAAATCTCGATTTATGTCTATATAATAACTGATATGATGATATGATGAATGTTACAATGAATGTTACAACTGCTGCTATCGTGAATTTTGTATGGAATTATTTTACGCATCAAGGCCTGAGGTGGCGGCGATAATTAGGTTCATTGTTTGGTTGCTTTGCAAAATTGTATTAGAATTATGATATTCTTTTTGCTGCTTTATGATGAGTATGATTTTGTTTCATGATAAATTACTTCAATTAATTATTTGGAACTGCTTATAGCCTTGACCGTTAATCTTATAATGCTATATAAGAATGATGTATGAATGGTTTGAGCGACTTATAATTAAGTTGGTCTGGTGGCTTTATGGATTATGCAGTGAAAGGGTATTTGATAACTTGGTTGATGTTATACCAATTATGAAAATTCGGTCCTATCAATACTAAATTATTTGCTGGGACAAATATATTATTATCAATTGAAATTTATGTGTTTTGGATGATGATGATTGAGTTGACAAACTCCCATTATGTTTATGAAATATAAGGGTTAGTTTGTTAACATTATGATTATTTGTTATTATATGACATTAAGACAAAATTAATTAATTAGTCACCAAAGTGACATAATTAATTTTCTATGTTTGGTCATATAATTTATCGTTATCCGCTTATTATATGACATTAAGGGAAAATTAATTTGTTAGTCACCAAAGTGGCCTAATTAATTTCAAATGTCTGGTCATATAATATTATTGTTATAATTATTTTCAATTATATGACATTAAGATAAAATTAATTTGTAAGGTGACCTAATTAATTTTTAATGTTCGGTCATATAATTTTATCGTTATAATTGTTTATTGTATGACATTAAGAGAATATTAATTTGTTAGTCACCAAAGTGGCCGAATTAATTTTCTAGTGTTTGGTCATGTAATTTATGTTATCTTGAGAATGTCATTATTATGAATTAATGAGTTTATTGGTTGTTAGAAATTATGGATTTACCCAAAGGTGAGTCAATGTTCTATAACTAATAAGCATTAAGGAGAATTATAATATCCTTTCGTCCAACATATGTAGATATCCAAAGATACTATGTATGTTAGACGATGTTTATTTAATTTCTCATTAAGTGTTGAATGACATTCGACTTATGATAATGATATATATTGTTGAGTTTACCCAAAGGAGACCTGCAATATACGTTATGAATGTATTTTCTGAATCTATTAATTAAGTGAGCATATATGTATGTGCAACTATCTATCTTCATTCGCAAGCTTTTCTGTTACTGTCTTCAATGTTTAAATTTCTCTGAATGACTTGAGCAAGTCAATTTCCATTTATGTATTTTGGATATTGATTTGGCTCTACTTGAAGAAAAGCCTACTGACATTAATGATCAAAGCAGTGAGGCTGAGAAATCAAACCGTAAGGCTTGGGACAGGTCTAACAGATTATGTTTGAGCTTTTTGTGAATGACGGTTGCAAATGACATTAAGTCAACTCTTTCTGATAATGTGGATGCGAAAGCATACCTTTTGCTTGTGGAAGAGTGTTTCCATTCGCGGATAAGTCATTGACAGGAACACTTATGGCTGAACTCACGACCATAAATTATGATGGGTCGCGAAGTATGCAACAACATGTTCTTGACATGAATAATCTTGCAGCAAGGCTTAAGTCCCTGTGCATGACCGTTGATGACTCATTTATGGTGAAATTTATGCTTAACTCGTTGACTCCCGAATATGGGCCATTTTACTATAAAACTATTAAGGATAAGTGGGATGTTAATGAATTGGCCAGTAAGCTTGTTCTGGAGGAGACGAGACTTATGGCACAAGGAGTTAATACGATCAACCTTACAGGAAGCTAATGATGTTCTCAAACTTAAATCCAACAAGTTTAAGAAGAAAGGACCTGCTAAAGTATCACAGGTCATTAATGATGGAAAGAAGGAAATGTTGGAACCCATGAGGATCTCGATATGCACAAATCACGGACAAACATTCAACATAA